TGTAGGCGTGCTGCCCCCACTAGCTCATATTTAACTCTCTTTTCATCTTGTTTATTTTGTCTTCATGGTATTAAAGCAAGCTGCACACCCAGCAACAAGCTTGCAGCAAATAGGTGCATCTTATTTTCCAGTGGATGGCCTGTCGCAGGGCGCATAGCACCCTGGGGATTCATAAAGAGGACCAGGTCAGAGTTTCTATGATTTTAATTTCAGTCCATCTGTTAAAGGAATTATGCTTAAACTTTCCTTTCCCAGTTGCAGGGATGCACAGGTAGAATGGGAAGATGCTGTGTGTGGTGACAGCGGTCAACCTCTCAGCACCCTGTCTCTTCTGCTTCCCCAGAGATGATGAAAAGCTGTGGGCTCCCTTCCCCTACACCCCAAAGATCCAGAACAGAGGTGAGGAGCACAATAACCTGTGTATCCTGACTTCTACAATAACCAAAGAGAGAGGTTTCTCCTGCTTGCCTGGTCCACAAAAACTGAAATGGGCCAGATGTCTCTTCCCACTTCCAGGGTAAGAGACCTCATCCAGCCTCCACACTGAGCTATCAGCCAAGAAAAGACCTAAAAAGCCCTTTAGCAAACAGACGAGGAAGTTCGGAAGGCAAAAAAAGAGATGACGACCCATGACCCACTCCAGGCACTGTTTTCTGAGAAGACTTGCCTGGAAGTGCCATCTCTACAGTGTATTCAGGCAGTGTGGTGAAGAGAAGCAGAGAAGTGTCCCAAGACAGCTCTGGGCCAAACTTGGCCGGACACAATAAAGCGGTGCAACACAGTTGGTCAGACATACATCTCCTCTGGGCTCCCAACCTAGCACAGTGCTGGGGTTACACCACTTCCAGCACCTAACCTTGTATTTCTGCACCACACCACAGCAGCTTGCACCAGGCTAGCACAGGGATCTCTTAAGACAGCAGTGCCTTGGTTTTGTCCTTCCCCTTCATGCTGTCCCATTCTGCTAAGGTAACCACTGCACAAGCAAGACAGAACAACATCAGAGCAAACTCGGGTATCCTCAAGTACCGCTCCCACAGCCACCAAAACCCTGCTGTATGCCCAAATGGACCAACCTTGCTCTCCTCACTGGCTATCACAAGGTCACTGTGCTTTAAGTTTTTGACTAGTGTGCCAAAAATACTGGAACTGGGCCTGTCATTTATAGCAACTTTTCTCAGATGGCTCTCACATGTCTTTATAAACGTTAGTAAATGAGTGTATAAACTAGAGCTATCTACACATAAATCACTCTGTCCACCACCAGAGTACAGCCATCTCTGGGATGATGCACAGCAGCTGCTGTAAAATCAGACCGCAGCTCTACACCACAGATCGGGGCTATAAAACATGCTGCATGAGGCAACTGAAATGGTTGGAGGAAGGAAGGGGAACATGGTGGAGAGCATTTTGTAGTTATAATTACCTGCGTACAAATTTGGTTAAAGAGGGTGCTGTGTTTAACACTTGTATATCTGCAAATCAAAGCAGTCCTCCACAACCTGTCAAAACAACTGGACTGTACCATTTCTCCATGTTTTGGCCTTCTAAAACCCTTTCTGAAAATTGCAAAGCACCTTGATAAGAGAAAAGCTGATGATGTGCTGAGCACAAACAATAACCTAATCAAATTTCATAGCAACTGACTTGATAACTAACTGTAAGCCTGTAGCTGCTATGTCCCCTCCCTTCCTCTCCCTTGCATGACAACCGAACGGAGCATCTATATATTCCCAGTTCTAAAATAGCTTCTGCTCCTGTAACTTACAACCCGTTCACATAGATCTTGTTTCCTGGGCTCAGAGTAGTTAATTACAATGAATAAGGGGACCGAACCGCTGCATCCTTTTCCTTATTCTGGGATGGACTCCTTGAGCAGCACATTGTTGTCCCCCCCAGCTCAAATCATGAACTGTTTATAATAGGTAATCTTTTGAAGGATGGAGCTGCACAGATTAGATCTATGAATTTCCTGGTATCAAGGACAGCAGATGAATATTTATCCTTCTTTCCCTCTTCTCCTTGGCCATACAGCTATATATGCCTCATGTAAAGCTAAACCTGTGTTGTGGTTTAACCCCAGCCAGCAACTAGGACTACACAGCTGCTCACTCTTCACCCTCCTCCCACAAGAAGGGTGGGGAGAGGAGGGAGAAAAGAAGGGGAAAGGGAAAAGAAAAAAACTTTGTGGGTTAAGATAAAGACAGTTTAATAGAACAACAATGGAAAAGGAAAATAGCAATAATAATAATAGTAATAATAATGGTAAAAGAAAATACAGGACACACCACTTGTTCACTCTCACCACCTGGTAAATTGATGATTTGGCACCGTCCCGAGCAGTGATTTTGAGTACCCCTTCCCCTGGCTAACCCCATTTATATACCAAGCATAGTGGTTTTGGTACAGAATATTCCTTTGGCCATTTTACTGTTCCATGTTCCTTCTCAGCTTCTGTGGGATGCTGAAAAAAGTCCTTGAAAAATACAAACATCGCCTTGCAACAACCAAAACAATATGCGTTATTGACAGTCCTTTCATACCAAATCTCAAAACACAGCAACCACTAAAAATAAAATTAACTCTGTCCTAGCTGAAACCAGGACAACCTGAAAACTAACAAAGTATGGAGAAGCGATCTGAAAAGTACTTCCAATCAATATATGGCATGGGACAACATGTTTTCGGATGAGGCCACCAGTTTGGGTTGAAGCACCACACAGATTGTGTACAGTGCTGACCCGCAAAGATCATTCCTTTGAGTGCCATCCCTCTGCACCAAGTTTTATCTTCTTTGCCATGAGTGTCCCTAGCTCTACAACCTCTCCCAAATATTGAAATTATTGGTAAGATATTCCTGTTTGAGAACCAAGAGAGTCACACTTTACACATTTGAATTGGAATATTAATGAAATACTACTAGTAGTGAGTGACTGCTCAGACAGACCATATACAACATAGGGTCCATTTAGCTCTCTAGTTTGAATCAGGAGCACACTCACATGCAAGTCTCTCACACTGGTTCACACTACCATCTCCACGTGCACAGCAAGGGCTCCTTTAACCAGAACTATACCAGAATATCGGTCTGACTGCTAAGGGAAATTTGGTACACAGGGCCGGACTCAAACTAACCCAAAGTAACAGTGTTCACTCAACAGTCCTCACTACCAACCGTGCAAGATGGTGAATCTGTGTCTACGGCAGCACACTGCTTGTTAGTGTAGTCATGGCCGTATACATGGTCTCCCTGTGTGAAATGTCTGTAAGAAATTGGCCAGTTAACCACAGAATGGTGAAATAGTTTGAGTTGGAAGGGACCTTTAAAGGTCATCTAGTCCAACTCCCTTGCAACGATCAGGGATGACTGCTTGCAGTCAGCTTTCTATGCACTTATGTGAACAAATTTACTAATTCATTTACTCATCTACAGACAGATAGGAATGACATCGCTTGCCTATCATATTGGATACCTCTCCCAGGAATTTCACTTTGGTTTCTTAGGCTGTCAGTTTTCAGGAACTGGTAAGGAGATGAACCATGTTTTCCTTGAGGCTGCATAATAGAGGTTTATTTGTACAACTACCACCAGTATGAACCAGTAAACTGCACATACTCCAGGCCAAGTTGGACCTTCATATCTTTGTGGGCCTTAAGTTAGTCAGTTGAACTAACTGGACACAAGGGCATAATTAGATCTGCTGTATTTGAATGAAACAAGTAAACATGCTCCCGCTGGAGTGCTGTAGAACTAATAACCTAAGAATATAACCCAAGCCCTGTAAGTTAGAACATAACACATCAATGGTTTCATTGTATTGAGTGAACTCACATCAGAGGTATGAAGCATGCAGCGAGAAAAAGCTCTGTGGATCAGATTGGGCAGTCCTAACCTCCACTGCTGTCATCCACCTGCACCCTCAGAGCAAAAGCAATCTCAGATGGAGAACAACCATGCTCAGAACCTTGTCATGCAAGACAAAAGAAGACATTTTCTGTGTACGCAAATCCCGGCTTTTATATTTGCACAACCAAAAGGAGGGAAATGGTACCTTTTGAATGGGCATGATTTTGCATAGTTGAGAATTTTCCATTACTAGCAAAGCAGAAAATTATACAACTCTTTTCTTGTTCTGTATGTGCAACACAGAGCATGGAATGCATAAAAAGTATGAAACTCCCAAAATTGTACAGTTAAGGATTTCGGCATATAAATCCAGTAGCTAAAATCCTGCAAGACAGCCATGCCTGGTGCCCTCTTATTCCTGTTAGCCTTGTGATGCATTATAAAAGCGTTCATGAAAAGAAAAAGAGCTTCAGTCTGAATTCTCATAACTAACAACTTGTGCAGAGAGTGTAAGGTGGCAGAATGGCAGCTGCATGGTCTGCTAGATATACAAAATATTGTCAATGGTTATCAGGGAAATATAAGCGCCCTTGGTAAGTACAGATAGTGAAGGAGACATAATTTGAACATGGTATAAGAAAATTAGATGCTGTACTTTTTTTTTTGAGGCATACGCATATATTCTACTGCTGAAGAAAAAAAAAGTATGAATATTTAAAGCAAAACTTTGCAGTTTATGGTTTATAAGAACACTGTTTATGTCCTTACAAAGATCAGTAAATAAAATTGACCTCAAAAACAATAAAAGTCTCTGGACAAAGGGAAAAAATAGAAATGTGCAGTTTTAGATCCTGGAAACAGCTGCTTTGTTTCAATACTGTAAAATATTTTGTAAAGGTTAAGCTTTCACTATGACACAAAGTTTCTGGGCCACCTCTTCAGTTGCTGTAAAGTGACATTATTTGACAGTTTCCAAAAACTCCAAACAATATAGATTGATTTTGATTTTTTTTGGCTGAAAATATTAATAAAATGTTATTATATGCATACATAACTAGGAAAAATCAGGATCATGCAGGTGCCACAGTGACACGACCACGCTCACGTTGCCCTGCTCCCTGCATGAAACTCCACACCAGCACATCGTACTCACGTGTTTTGCTGAGAACGCATCAACCTCCTGAAGCAGCTTCTCCTGGCACTCTGGGTTGGTGGCTAGCAAGTACGTGGCAAAGGACAGTGTGCTAGTGGTGGTCTCGTAGCCAGCGATCAGGAACAGGAAAGCTTGGCCTGCTATCTCGTCCTCCGTTAACGTCTTCTGAACCTTTTCAGGTGGGGCCGTGCCAGCAAGAGGAACCTTGTTCTGTCTGGAAGCAGCAGATGGACTGATCACATCAAAACACCCTGCTGCCAGGGAGTCAGCTGAGTCACGGGAGTCGAGCATCCACTGGAGAAAATCTCTGCGCCTCTGCAGAACACAGGATGAGAAGAAGCATGAAGAATGGGTCACAGAGCAATGTCTACCCATGGGGGATGGAAGAAGAGAGCCGTTTCCTATTTATACTCCCCACTTGGCTCTCACAGAATGGCCACCTGCCTTTTACAGAAAGAGGAGACATCTATAAATTAGCTGGAAATGCCATTGCTGAGTTGGACACTGCTTTCTTCCCAGTGGGATGAGACTGATCTGCCCCCAGTACATAACAGGTACATTTTTTTGCAGAGGACTGCTAATAGTCAGCACCATATAGAGCTTCTTTCATCTTCAGCGTAAGTTCTTGGCACTTGCTGGAACTAAGGGGATTGACATAGTCAATGCACGGTCCCACGTGCATCCGCCAAGTGGAGGTGGCACAACTCATTCTCAGAGGCCCCATCCTCAGTTGTTCACATGGTCCAAAGTATGAAAGTCACCATCTAGGTTCATGGTTGCATCTGCAACTATTTCTGTGCCAGCTTAACAAGAAAAAACTAGAAACTGATAAAACCATAAAACCTATTTGGGTGGCTTGTCTTTGCAAAATGGCCACTGAATGGTTCTACTGTTAAAAAACCTGCTTTCTTTCACACTAGTTTCTATCAGAAAAACTCTAATAAACAGACCTATGGACAAAAGTGAGTTGACTCCAAACCATTCTGGACAGCAAGCTTGATTAGGCTTTGAAATATAACCCAAAAGGTTTGAATTGACTTTTTGGAGTAGGCATAATAGAATTGTGCTGAACCCAAGCCATAAGGCTATGTGATTGATTTTCAATTCCTCAAATACCAACAGAATACATGATAGCTCAAGGACTTAGAAGTGACTGCAGTGCCAGAATATGACAACTTGTGCAGTTGGATGGACAAAAGAAGGGACAAAGTCTTACTTCAAAAAAAAAAAATACTGCAAAGCTGCATTTATCTGTTAAAAATAAATCATTTTAATGATTTCTTGGATCTGATGATTGAGAGATAAAGCAGAAAAAGGAAAATCCAGAGAAAAAGATAGGCAAACAAGATAAGAGTAAGGAAGGACTAATTAATTATAAATGTCAAAGGACTTAATCAGATTTTTTTTTCACATGACATGGGAAAAGAGAGCAGTGAGACAACAAAACAGAAGAAATACTTATTATCCTGTGCTCAGCTCTGCTGCCAACAAACTGTTCTGACCAAGCTTCAGGCAGAGAGGAATGGTTATTTTGAGGTTTGAGTAATATGAGGGATCAAGCACACTGCCTCTTTCGCAGCACCTTCCCTCCACCCCACTGAATTGTTTCATTTTGCACATGTGCATTATGCACCTTGTACCCCCATGACCATAGTGTATCCTGCACCCTGGTGCACCCAAGAATCAATGCTCCAGATGGTAGCCAGTGTGGGTCACTGCACACTGAAGGACTCCACAAATTGGCCAAACTGCACCACCTCCGAGGCATGGGGTACCTACTCCTTCCCCAAGTGAAGGCACACAAAGCCACATTATACACATTGTGCTCAGCAAACGAGCTCCGTCTCTCAAAATACTTCCTTGTGCCTAGACTTAGGCACAATTTCCATATTCAAACTGGCCATGCTTCCTTGGCATTTCTAATAGAGTAAGCCAAAAGTTGCAACTGCCCTGCCACAGTCATTCTCCTCCAGCACGATATGTACCTCTGCTCTTTTATGTTCCTCTAGACTGGAGGAAAGAAGACTTCATGCATACTTCAGCTGTGCATAGCTAAAAATATGATTTAACTTTTCCAGGAAGGGCTTTATTCACATTCTGGGAGTTTATGTATTGCACAAATGAGTGTCCAATCCTTTGGCATAGCCTATGCTTCAGGGATTTTCCTGGTACATATATTTGGGTTAGGCCATTTTTTTAAAATAAAGAAAACCCCAACAGCCCAGTTCCAGTGCGTTCATTAGTGTGTGGATAAACTAGTCCAGTATAGTAATGAACTGCACCTGTAGAGACAGTCCCTTTTAACTGTAAAACTAGTCATCATAACCTAAACTACCTCTATAACATAAAAATGTATAATTACATTTATATTCAGTAGAGTTGTAACACTGTAACATAATATAGTTCAAATGGTATAACATTTGGTATGGTTCTGCATTCATCCTTCTCTAGCTGTGAATTTTCATGTAAACAAAATCATTGCTCTCTCAGGGTTTGCAGTCCCCGGTCGTGAGCTGTTAGCTGGGTTTGGTCTTATATTTAGACAATACGCTCTCTGGAGACCCTATAAGATGCTTCTCCAGCCTTAGACAAAATCAGTTCCCAGCCTTATACAAAGCATCTGCTTATTGCTATGATAGTAAAGTAATAATCATAATAACTAGTGAATAAAATTTCATTCATGAGAATTTTTGCTGAAAGCAGACTTAATGAATGTTAGCAGAAGTGCATATTCCCAAGAATGTGCTCTGAAATGCCTCTGTGGCCATTTTGAGGAGCTCTTTTTATTACTCACATAATATATTTGCTTAGGAATTTAAAAGCTTGTCTTGTTACAGAATCTGTTTATAAGGTCACCCTATTGAAAAACAACTATGTGTGCCATGTAATTTGTTCACAGGTGAGCAGAGGTTGCTAAAACCAATGGTTTCATAAACAATCATTACCAAAACAACATTCATTTGTAAAAACTACTTGAATAATAGTGGGGGAAAATGCAGAAAATCAAAAAATGGAAGCTTTTTTCAATATAATTCTATACAGTGGAAAGAGCTATATTTTAGCAAAGCTTCTCTTACTTATGGTTCATTCTACTTCACTTTAGGCATTAGTATAGAACACAACATAAAAAATCGTCATCAACCCAAGCGAGAGAAAAGATTTCCAGGGTTATAACCAGTCATAATGAAACATATTTTTCTTCCGCACCATCAGGATGGAAAAAAATCACTCTGACTCAAAAACCTAACAATAGCAATAGAGGCAAACACTAGCATAAAACCAAATATAATTGGATTGTTAAGTGTTGGAAATGAGGAAAAGGTATCTCATGAAAATTCACGGGGCTTTTCTTCACTTAGGTTGACAGCAGAAAAAAAAAAAAAAGGCAGGTTTTTTCAGTTTGACAACAGAGCAGATACTGACAGTGTAACTGCACAAAACCATTCTCTGGTCATCACATACAGCTGCTGGCTTCCTTTTTCCATCGGGGACATTTGTTTGATTTTCCTCACAAAAGCAGAAGCCCGTAATAGCCTCTATCCTGTCCTCTGACATTTGCATAGTTATGTTACAACGGCCTCAGAAACAAGTTCCCACTTCAAAAGAGCAGTTTGCCAATGTGATAGACTCTTGTTTTGCCCCCGTACAACACAGAGCCTATCATTAAGTCAATGAAAATTGAATGGAAAGCTACTATTTGAAAAAAATCTAATTTGAATGCAGTATGGGACAGGGTGTACGTCTAACTTGGTGGTGACACAGACATCCCCTTTGAAATATATAATAAGACAAGCCCTGCTTTCAGCTTCCCTGAGATAGACACCTTGCAATATATTTCCTGACACCAGTGTTCTGGGCCGTATCATTTCTCTCATTAGTCTCCTTAAACATCACCTGGCCATGCAGAGAAATCATTCTGCACAGAACCGTAACGAGCTATGTGCTGCACACTGGAAGAATAGACGTGTGCTAGACTGGGGAAGGCCAATCCAGCAGCATCTATCACCCCTCCTCAAATCACGGCTTTTAAGTTTTGCAACTGTCAGAAGAAGAGAGATCTACGGCTCACACGCGTGATGTATCGTGACTCTTCTCGAAGGAGGCAAGGGTCTTGCGGGGGGAGGGGGACGTCTCCAGCTCTTTCCATCTGAAAAGGGAAATGGTGTTTTCACATCTAAGATTGACACACCGGCTGACCTCCTGGCAAATTCACCGCTGCTTCAAGGATCCAGGGGACCCTTGGGTCGTGCTTTCAGGAAAGAGATTGAGTCATGCAACTTCTCTGCAAGGTGAAGTAAAAAATTATTTAAGGAAAACTACCAAATGTATAAGTTGGAATTTTTGTTCTTAATGCTGGGATTTTGGTTGTGTTTTCTGCAAAGTATACTCAAATTTTGCTCCAGTCTGATAGGTCAATTTCCCCAGTTTGAGTTCAATAGAGCCCAGAACTACAAAAAGCAACTTAAAGATGAAGTAAGGAACCAAACTGGAAGACATAATTGGTTGGTATTCTGTAAAGCACTAGCTGCAGTGCAAAAGCCACACAAACATGATGCTGCTAATATAACCACACTCACAATAAACTGTGCAGAATCTCCTAGCCTTTCTCAAATGCTCTGATGGCAGCTCAAAAAAACAGAAGCTTCAGAAACCTTATCTAACAGGAAGAAAGTTCACATCTCATATTATATCAATTTCCTACAAACTTGTACAAACACTGCTATATTAGTTTATACACAGGTCACTTTTTGAAAATTTGATTTAGTAATCATCTTTTTAGGTGAGACAAACAAGTCTCACCCTGAAGTTATCAGTAAAGCACTGCAGTAGCTGCCCAGATCCTTTTGAAAAAGAAGCACAAAATGCAGTCCCACTAGAACTATCATTTTGCCAAACCGCTTTGAAAGGATCAAATTCAACCTCTCCCCAACACTTACAGGTTTCATTTGATTTCTCAGTGAAATCACAAAAGAGCCGGTCTCTCTGCCAATACATCTAGTCCCAAAACATTTCAGAGAGATTGTCCTTTTCTCTTGTGCTTGAACCCGGCAGCTGGAATTAACTGGGAGGCCAGAGCTGACAGCCCTCAAATTTGTGTGTCTGCAGGCTGAGGGCATGGTGCTCTCACGGGTGATGCTCGGCTCTGGAAGGACCTGGAGTCTGCTGAACTGCAGGGTACCACCACTGCTGCTCCAGAGTGGCTGGGAGGCTTTCGGTCTGGCAGAAAAACCTCTTTTGTTTGCATTTGTTAACATCAGCTGGTGAAACCACTGTAATGTTTTTATTGTAAATGGGCTAAGTGTCTGAGGGCAGGC